ATATATTATTTATTAATTTACTTATTTCAATATTTACTTATTTCTTGAAAAACCAACTTTGTATAATTTGGTCCATGTGGAAAGTGTTTTATGATATTTTTTATACATTTAATTAATGTATATAGACACAATTAAGTGTGTGTGTGTGTGTGTGTGTGTGTGTGTGTGTGTGTGTGGTATTGGTATATGGTGTGTAGATTTCAGTCAAGCAACAAATTTTATTTGGCCTTCAGCTTGTATAGCCAATATCAGACAAAGTATGTGATCTGGATATCATTTTATAAATATGGATATTAGCTCTTCTATTGCATCAGCGCTGTTGTTCACTCCTTTGTGATGAATTCAATATCAGCAGGGGCTCAGGTTGAAGGCGGTCAAATCCCTCTCGGTCCACAAATACACACGATAATCACTTGTTGGTTTATCCACCAGGGGGAGTATTCTATTCATTTTCATTCTCCACCTAACATTTCACCCCCTTTACTGCATTATTTATTTGTTTACCTTTATATATTTTTTGCAGTAATCAGAAAATATGATCAAACTGGTTTATATTTATATCTAGCCTGAAGCTTTGTTTGCTCTGTTGCAATGCTATGATAGATAGATAGATAGATAGATAGATAGATAGATAGATAGATAGATCTATTGTTTGTCAATCACTGGAAGGTGGGAGTGTCTGTGTTTTTGCATTTCAATTGCAAATTTACACACTTCACATTTAAATAATGTGAATTTGTTGTTTCACATCTTTCCATGTGTTTTAAGCAGAAGGCATATGTGATCACAAGCTCTGATAAGAAATGACAGGAGTTTATTGTTTATCTGTGGAGGTGTGCATGGATTTTGTGTTCACTGTTTTCTCTCCGTCACAGTCTGCTAGAGCTGCATGTGTTTGCGGTTGTAAATGTAAGCTGGGATAGATTTATAGAAAGGGATCAAGAGAGAAAAGGATTAAGCAGAATTGTGTATGCTGTTGAATCAGCCCTGTGAGGTAATTGATCTAAATCATCAGTGTCTCGAATTTGGCACCTTTATTGTGTTTTCTTTTTCTCTGAGTTGTATTTCTTCTGTTTGATTAGTGATTTCCACTTTATAAACAGCTTTATGGGGATCTTTTCTAATAATAATTTGTGGGCCCTTTTGTGTTGCACAACTTAAAAATGGTCTTTTTTAAGTGTTTTCATGGAAATTTACATGCATAAAAAATTTGGCGTGGAAACCATATTCACTCATAAACTGCTAGTAGATTTCACAAACAATTGAATATAAATGGCAAGTAACACAATGAATTAAACATGCAATTTTGAAATATAAGAAAACTGAAATAGTATTTTCTTGTAAAACACTCTAATAATCTGTTTTATTTACAAGTTAGAAAAAAAAAATACTTTTTTAATAGTGTATATGTTTGTTGAGTCTTTTTAAAACACATGCTGTATGACATCCATGTTACAATAACTGACAGTCTTGAATAAATACAACAGAAAGTCAATGCTTCCTATTCTTTGCATCGTCATCACTGTTGGTTGTGTTAGTAATCTGGACATGTTTGTCAGGTTTTT